CCTTATAATGATCCATGAAGACAATTTCACATGTATCAACCTGATCAAGAAAGACTACATCAAAGGAGACAACACCGTACATATTGCGCCGAAATTGTTTTTCTCACATAAGCAGTAAGAGCATTAGAAGATGAAGTCAAGTAAATCTAATCCCAAGATAGCCTTTGTCAACCCTTTCACGAATTCATTGTCGAAGTCTATTTTCTAGAAACTTGTCCAAGGAACTGCTATGTGTAAATTGTCTGATTTACAACGCTTATAGTTCTCATTTAGAAGTTTTGTCAAACTCAGAAGGAGTATTTAGAAGTATACTCACTTGACCTTAATGTACTATTTTGCCCTTCAATTTGGGCCTTTTTTCCCATTGAATTTTTAACTTACGTGGTTTCAATGAAGCATCTATCTTGGCTGGTAATACCTTTCTGTGCATTCTACTTGCATCCTGAATGCATTTAGTTTTGACTTAATCCATCTTATCACCTTTCTCATTTGACTATGGGTTTTTACCCTAACTTGGGTCTTACTATAGCCAAGTATTGTGAGTTTTACTCCTTATGCATTCTTCCTTTTGTTTTGAGACTCACATTCACTTATTGTGCCGACTACACGAAACGATTTCATCAACTACTTCTACATCATTCATGAAGAACTGATACGACATCTACACCTGTATTTGTCAGGTTTTCTATGAACTACTTCTGAAGTTTTTGCAAAAATATTTATTTTAATTTTTGGTTTTTATATAATTTTTTATGTGAATAATCCTGACATTAGTAGTTGAGTCAAGTCTAGGAGAGTATTGTGTAAATTTCTTTTTGGAAGTTGTTACATTGTTTCTTTAAGTTTATGTCATGAAGTGTGGTATATGTATTTTATTAGTTTATGTAGTTGATCGTAGTTTTGTTATTTTATACATGATCAAGAAACGTGATTCTGGGTTCTGCTTAGAGTTCATATATCAAAATCCCTTTCTGGGTGGAAGAGATGGTAGCAGAATCATGATTTCGCAGTCTGTGGAAGCCTAAAAAGAAACATGAGGCTGGTTTTGAGAAATTGGAGTTTTGGCCTTTGAAGTCGCAAGCTTGATGTCTAAGCTGGTCCATCTATGGCAACTTCTGAGCAATAAACAGGTTGCTGGGCTTAGAGAAGAAATCACAAATTCAGTGGGCATAAATCACCGACGCTTACAATTTTCATCATTCAAATCACAACTTGATTGCTTTGAATGGAGGCGTGGTTGTGCTCGGGTGGAGGGGAACAAGAAGATGAACAAATCATCATCTTCACTTTTTTTTTTACTTTTTTATTTTTAAGTTCTTTATTATTTAAATATTTTTAATCAACATGTCAATATTTAATTAGACTTGTGAGATCACATCAGCAAATAACATAATTTGTTACAGAATTATAATGAAATGACCATATTGTTTTGTGATACTAATTTTCAGGAACTACATTAATCAATTTTTAATTTTAAGAACCGCCTTGATGGTGTGGGTCAATTTCAAAGACCATATTAGTTCTTTTTTTCTTTTTTCCTTTTTTATTTTTTTATTTTTTTTTATCCTTCTCTCGATCAGTTTAGACTTTGGACGCAAAAATACTCGACAATTACAAGGGAACTAGTATCGAAATTTCTCGATTTTAATGCAAGAATCTCACACTTCATGCTGACCTACTAGTAAGTCTGAATTTTAGTATCGAACGATTATATCGGTATATAGGTTACCAGAGAATATATAAACATTTGCTTCATAAAACAAAAGGAGTTAATAAAAGTACCACCTTCAATTTACTGAGCTTAGCAACATTCAATAAATTAATTCATTGTTATTTTTAGTAATTAAAAGAACAAAAGCGTTGGCTAGTTGGTAGTTTCCACCGAAATTTAGGTAGTTGTTATATATCATACAATTTATGGTTAATGGACTATCCAACTTTTTCTTAGTGCTCTAATTTGCAGGTAAAGTGCAGTAAAGTTAAGTACAGGAGTTGCTTCACCTTGCTAGTTGGAAAGCGTGTTGTTTGCTTAATCACTGTCACTACTTAAGCCACTAGCTCTGTCTGTGAATGCTTTGAGTCAAAGCTAATTAAATTCACTCGAAATGATTGATTAAGGATTAATCCCACTTCACTTATGAAAGCAATGTCTTTGCTTAACCAAGAGTTCAGAGACTAAGTAATTATTGAAATATTACGTGCACCTTCATGACCCACTAGTAGTGTTGAGATCTCAACCATTTCGGACGTAGAAACTCTAAAAGAAAATAAAATAGAAGAAAATAATACTCCAAAAGCATTTCAGGCATTAATAATGCTTGTTCGATAAAAAAAAAATTTAAATTCATTACGTATAATGCTTATTGTTTCATTATGATCATTGTTCATTTGATATAATATTTTATAATATTTTGACATTAGAACAAAGCTGACCTGATGATATTAAAAGGGGAAATTAGGTTAAACAAAAAGGTGATGATCTAATGAGACGCTCTAACTAAATGATTACAATATTATGCCGAGAGCCCGGACAACTGAATACCTGTTCTAACATCAAAAGGGTTTAGTGCGATACAACACTAAGAGTGCATTTCACTTTTACATCAATATATCTTATATTTTCATTAAAGAAATATTAAACTAAAAATTGGACCATATTTTATTGAATCATTCATATATATATATTTAGGGAGATTTTGGATGCGATCCTTATTTATGAATATTTTTTGACTAAAACCTGGTTGGTTTTCAATTTTTTATCGAAGTCCCTGAAATTAATGTGATAATTATTTCTATGTATGTTACTATATTTTTTAAATTAAAATTTAAAATTTATAGTTGTTTATATTAATAAGATTTTAAATAAAAAACCATAATTTGTGGGATTAAAAATATTAAAATATAAATATACTATTGCGTGTGTGTGTATATATAAACATGGGTACATTCATCAATATTAACCAAAAAATTATTGTACCAAAACATGGGTACATTCTTCAAAATTACAAAAAAAAAAAAAAAAAAACACAAAAAAAAAAAAAAAGAAAAAAAAAAAGATATTAGGCTTAATAACATTAGTAAATTTCTTTTATTAAACTTGACATGAATGCATTCTCAATTCAAAGAAAAAAGAATGCACCTGTTTGGACCCAAAATGTTATTTTGGGTTAAGCTTAGAAATATTCTCGGTCCAAAGGTGTTTATTTAGAATCTTGTCATGGGCCGGCCCTGTCAAGGTCGGCCTAGTTCTACTACGAAGATGATTATTTCGGATAATGGTGAAGTAGTCGAGACCTAGTATGATAAGGAGTCCTGAGGATGCTAAGACTCGAGAAATGAATTTGGCTCGTTAAAAAGGTAGGTTCAAAGTCCCAATTGAATTAGGATTTGGCTGAGTCCTGGTTGATTAGGTTAAGGAGTCCTAATCCGAGTGTGGTTCTAGCTCGGCCATGAGAGAGTTTGTTGCTATAAATAGAGAGGGGAGTGCATCATTCAAAGCCTTCCAATTCACACAAGCTGCCCTGCGCAAACTCTCGTTCTACGTGAAACCTCTTAACAACCTTGAGATTTTTATTTCCTTTTTCCTGCCGACACATCTTTAGTTTGGATAAATAGCACTGGAGCCGTAGAATCAGTTGATCAAGGAGCACCTTTAGTCAGTGCTTCTCGCCCGATTGATTACCTATCCAAGTCTCGGTCGACAAGGATTTTCAAGTCCTTGTTGGTAGAGGTCATCTCATCAGCCTTCTCAGTGAAGTGAGGTGTTATGAGGTTACTACATTCGGCACTTTGAAAGCCGAAATTGATATTGAACTTCGCAGAACTAGCAACCTTGTCTTCAGGCTCTAGAACGCGAAGGCCGAGCGTGTTCTTTCATCGGCTGCAGTCGTGAGATCAAGAAGTCAGTAGTGCGCCCAACGCCACATCGACATATTTTACTCCCTGGCCGTGCTCGGCCGACAAGTTGGCATGCCCCACACACAGCAGAATGACGTAGTTAGCTTATTAATTACTCGGTCTGCACGCTTGGTAGTTTTTAGGGTTAACAGTACCCATGTAAGTTCAAAAATAGATTAGAAAAAAATTGAACAGATTTTATATAAAAAAAAAAAAAGGATATATTTTGCATATAACAAATTGTTATATTTAAGAATGAGTACATTTTAAGATTAAAAATTTGAAAAATTACATGAATGGGTACATATAATTAGCATGGGTACATTTAGCAAAATTAAAAAAGAGTACAAATAAGTAAAAAAATATGGGTACAAATACAAATAAAATTTTTTAAAATATGGGCACAAAAAGAAATTAATATATGGGTACAGATTAAAATTGAAAAGAAAATTGGTACAAATTAAAAAAGGGTTGCAAATTAAAAATGGGTACAAACTAAAAATAAAAATATATGATAAAATATTTAGCCATAAATATAAATATACAAATTGTAACATAACACTAAATGAATATATTTAGAAATAAAAAATATTTTATTATTGAAATAATTAATGATATTATTAATATCCAAGGACCTTGATCAAAAATTGAAAAATAATAAAGTTTTAATCAATGAAGCAGCAAAAAGAGGGATGAAAACCTAATTTCTCCATATATTTATATACACACTAAGGGGTGAGATGAATAAATCGGTTACCAACTCGTCACTCATGAAATTTGAAACTATAAAACCTCTCACTTACAATTTATAAAAAAATATAACTAAATTGTAGTATAAGTGACAAAAATTGAAAATATATTTAGATATGGAAAAAAAAAATTTTTAATTTTTGAGATTTCATTCTTTTGTACCAAAGACGCGATATATTAGCGTCAAATGTAAACAATTTTATTCGATTGATGTTACAAAGACAGATTGAGCTTACAATTTTGACTTGAATGATATTACAAAAACAGATAACCTAGTACTTTTCTCAAGGAAAGCAGTTTAGGGGTTTGAATAGTTAGTTTATTGTTAGTCTGAGGATTCAGTTAGATCAACTCACTAAGTTTATCACTTGATTCACGTATATGCACTTTGAGATCCTAACACTCCGGCCGCGTATAGAAAGTACGTACGGATAAGAATGTTTTTACGATTGACTCCCCGTTAAAAAATAGAAAAGTAAAATGTTATAAAATAGCAATACAATTGTTTTTAACAAAAATAAAAAATAAAAATAGAAATGTACATGCATTTTTACCATTCAACATCAAAATTAAAAGGATCTCTCTTTGGGCAACTTGAAAAATAGAAAGTCTGTTTTCTTTTAATACAAAAAATAGAAAGTTAGAATAAAGCTAAACAAAAAAACACGAACTAATTAATGGAAGGTTAGTTGTTTATAATAGAAAAAGAATTTGTGTGGAAAAGCAGGTGGAACCAACCGACAGACAAGGAGAAGCATGGATTAGTTTTCTTGGCTTGGAAATGAAGGGATATGAATAGGTATGGCAGTTAGAACCACTCTCTTCCTCTCTTTCACTCCCTCACACACACAGACATACACACACTCTTTCTGTAAGTATCTCACTCGTCCGAACCAAACACAACAAAACGTACTCTTGATGTAAGGACGTCCATCCCTTGGTTCTAGCTTTGACTCGGCGGCGCCACCGCCACAGAAAAAGTCTCTCATCATTTAACCCTCCGTCCACTTGTCACAATGTCGTCCCACCCCAGCTCTTCAAGAACTCCCACGCCCCTCTCTCTCTCTGTACCATATCCACAAATTCAATCCAAACCAACACCTCAACTAAAAACTAGGACTAGAACCTCTTAATTATCGCCATGCAACCCCACAATTCTTTTCACAACAAGAACAAACACCTCCTTTCCCTCTTCCATTCTTGACCCACTTCCATCATCACCAATTTTCTCCATCCCTCTCTCCTCTATAATTTTGTTTTTTCCCTGAGTTTCGATTAATTTTTTTTTTTTTTAATTAATGGCTTTGATTGTCGACCAGCAATCAAGCTTTAAACACTTCTGTAAAATATGCAAGAAAGGTTTTGTGTGTGGTAGAGCGCTAGGAGGGCACATGAGGGCACATGGAATAGGGGATGAAGGTCACATCGACGACGACGATCCTCCGAGTGATTGGGAGGACAAACTCGGCGGCAATGTACCCGCTACCAACAAGTGCATGTATGCTCTAAGAACAAACCCTAATCGCCTAAAAAGCTGCCGGGTTTGTGAGAATTGTGGCAAAGAGTTCTTGTCTTGGAAATCCTTCCTTGAACATGGCAAATGTGGTAATTCTGTAGATGCCGAGTCCCTTGTGTCCTCGCCAGGCTCTGATGAGGAGGATGGGGGCGGTGGCAGCCGGCGAGGATGTGGGTGGTCAAAAAGAAAGAGATCTTTCAGAGCTAAAGTGGGAAATTTTAGTCCGCATTGCCCATCAAGTGAGGAAGAGGACCTTGCCAATTGCTTAATGATGTTGTCCAATGCCACGGTGGATCCAATGGAGGCAGAACCAGAAGAATCTTGTGCTTCAGCCAGCAAAGAAGAGGAACGAAGGAACCCTATGAACATCATGACTCCTGTTTCACGTGGGGTGACAATTGACAACAATAAGGCTAAAGGGGTTGCCAATAAAGGTTTGTTCGAATGTAAAGCATGCAAGAAAGTATTCAATTCCCACCAAGCCTTGGGCGGTCATAGGGCTAGTCACAAGAAAGTTAAAGGGTGCTTTGCTGCCCGTCTTGATCATCTCGAAGATAGTATGGCGGATGATGATGCCATCACGCATGAAGAGTTCTTACCCAATAAACCCAATTCAACCCTACAATTTGACCATGGGTCAAATAATCCATCAGTTTATACCTCAAAGAGAAAATCTAAGGTGCATGAATGTTCAATATGCCATCGGATATTCTCATCAGGACAGGCATTGGGTGGGCACAAGAGGTGTCATTGGATCACGTCCAACACCACGACAGACACTTCTACTCTAGTCAAGTTCCATGAATTTCAAGAGAGTTTGGAGCAGCAAATGATGAACCAAAGGTCTAAGTTTGATGCTTCGGATCCACTTGATCTGAAACTCGATCTTAATCTACCTGCTCCGGTGGATGAGAATGGAGGAGGTAGAAGAGAGCGTCCCAATCCACCAAGCTTGGATGTATCTACAGATTTCTTTTTACAGCCATGGATTGGGACAAAGGAGGAGGACAATCCCCCTCACCACTCCCACCACCAAATCGACAATGACAACCTTAACAACGATGATTATAATACTAATAACAACAATAATAACAGCACTGATGTTTCAATGCAGAATGTAGTTGATGAAGGAGACAGTAAGGTGAAGTTAGCAAAGCTAAGTGAACTAAAGGATATTACCAACAGTGGGGGCTCCTCACCATGGTTGCAGGTGGGAATTGGTTCAACAACTGATGTTGGAGCTGAACCATAATTTCATGTGAAGGAATGTGAGATTTTCTCAGCTCTCTCTCTCCCCCTTTTTGTTCAAAGATTTTTGTACCAAGAAAACTGTAATTATTACAAACAAGCCATAGCTCAGCATTCTTTTTCAAAACTTATTTTCTTTTTGAATTGTTACTGTACATTATCGTGGGTGAATAGGAACCCAGTTAAGCCCCAATCTCATTTCATCCATATATATTGCAGGTGATTTATTTATATATATATATATACTTCTAATAAATCATTATATTTTTTCTATATAAATTTTCTTGTTAAAATTTGTTTGGCAAAGAAAAAAAGATTCAAGTGTAGTTATGATGTATGGTAAGAATTTGTTAGTGTCAACCCACCATACACAAAACAAAAGAGTACTTTTAATTTGGTGATCTCTCTCTTACTCAATTGGTGAGACTAAAGTTAAAGTTGAGTCTGAATTAGCAGCTGGTGCTTCCGGTGCTGATCTTAGACTTATGTCTCTAAAACTACTATCATTTTAAACCTTTGTTTAGTTATCTTCTTCTTTATAAATCTTAGACAGCAAATTGTTAAACTACAAAAATAAAAATAAAAATAACTAGGCTTGTTACAATCCCAAACCAATCGAGCCAATCTAATCCAACCAATTTTGCTTGATTAATTTCAATGACTTTTTTAGATCAAATGACATGTTTTCTTGTGAGAGCCCAATCAAATCAAATATAATCCAATCTGGTTGGTTTCTTGCTCCTTTTTTCTATCTCATATGCATTTGAAATTCAATAGATTGTGATTAACTGAAGTCATTATATGGAATTGTGTTAACTGAAGTCATTTTATGGAATTGTGTTTAGTATATGAGTAATGTTAGATAATCAAATTTTTAGACTAAATTTGTAAATCATGTGATATGTCAAATAAGCACGTTAATCAACACTTCAACAATAATTCAATCATCAAGAACCACGTCATATGATTCACAAAATATAAATTAGAATTAAGTACCTAAAACCCTCCAACATTTTATTGTCATTCCAAATTGGTCTCAACCTTTTTAAACATTCCAAACAAGTACCTAATGTATTGAAAATGTCACATCTATTAAGCCCCAGTTAAAAATTTACTAAATTGTTTTCCTTGCTTGATTTTTTAATGTTCTTTGTAGGATTTTATTTATTACGCATTTTTAACTATTAAAAATAAAAAGAGCTTGCAAAAAAATTGAAAGAAAATACCAAGTCATCAATAAAAACGGAAAGAGAGGGATTCGAACCCACGGTACGAAAAACTCGTACAACGTGATTAGCAATCTGTCACTTTAGTCCACTCAACCACATCTCATCGATCATGGTGAAGTCGGCAACGGATTCGGCGGATCATCCACGTCACACTAGGATTGATGGCATTTATGAGAGAGGTGAGTTTTAAGAGAAAGACGGGAGAGGAATTTGGTGTTCCAAGATTGATGACCGAGAAAGGCTTGATAATGTGTTGGTTTGCTTTAGCAGGTATATTGGTATGAATGAACATATTATAGATATAAAATGTTTTACTTTGTCTACAAAATCAATAGAAGGTCACGGAAGCATAACCTCCACCAACTAATGATCACCACCACCCAATCATGCCATCACCTCTAAACCCAACGCAAAACTTCCAATTCCACCCTACAACTCAAGCTGCCAACATCAAGAAGAAGGTCATGGAGGTTGCTTAAATGGCATGGACTACCATGATGCGGCCACCACCATCTTCACTACCCACAAAGAAGAACTTGAAGTTTTACGAGCCGAGAATCGTCGAATGAGAAAATGACATGAGCAGAAACATGTTCCTTGAAACCCTATATGAATTTTTAACCCTCTTCTATGTTAGAAGATTGCCCTTCTAATGTAATTTCAATTTGGGTCCATTTTCAATTCAATTCAATACCCGTTTGACCATTGGGTTTCATATTTTATAATCTATGTTTGAAATTTAGATTTTGAAGCAATTAATATTAAAGTTGACCACAATATACCCAGTTGGCGGTTTTTGAATTTAATCTATGTTTGAAAAATTCACTGGCACTTAACTCATGTGACGTTTTCAATAGGTTGGATACTTGCTTAGAATGTTTTAAAAAATTTAGACCAATTTGGAATAACACTAAAATGTTGGGGTTTTTTAGGTACTTAATCTTATAATTTAACTAGATAGTGTCTCCAGCATTTTCTTAATATATTGAGGGAGCATTTTTGCTCAACTATGGTGTATGTTCACTTTACACATAATCATCTGTCGTGTGTCCTTTCATTTAACTCTAGTTAACTTTCACATTAAATGTTACTTTTTGGACTTTGGAAAAAAAAAACAAACTATGGTTAAGTGAAAGGACACGTGTTAACTAGAGTTAGGTGAATGGACATGTCAACTCTAATTAACTTTCGCATTAAATGTTACCTTTTGGATTTAAAAAAAAAATTAACTAAGGTTACGTGAACGAACACGTGGTAGGTGATTAAATGTACAGTGAATATAAAAAGGAAAAAACCCACTCACCTAGAGTCCGCATTACAATTTCCTAGCACGAATATCAAGGCATCACGAATGATCGTTGATGCGAGAACTATACGTGCACAAATTAAACCCTCTTTTTGACAATTGTAGTATGGATGTAAGTAGGGATCGTTATGGACCGGGGATTAGGAGGGCTTGCTAAAACCTTCTAAATTGACTTAAGAACGTAAAAACAAAATAAAACACTAAACTAGACTCAAAGAATGTAAAACTAAAATTTAAGACAAACCAAAAGACTCAAAACTAATTTTGGACGAATTTAAGATTATGGCTTGATTCAAAATACTTTAAAACACAAACTAAACAGATTCTAAATACTAAAGAACAAGAAAGTAAAAGGGGGGAAAAGTTTTGATTTGACGAAATTTGAAATAACAAAACAAGTTAATAAACTGAGCGGAATGTAAATATGAAATTGTGATGGAATGAATGGAATGAAGGCTAGCTAAGGGGTTCTTCTCCACACATGTTATACTTGCATACAAGATTGATTCTCAGTTGGTCTTTCGATAAATTATGATACTCAACACTCCGGATTAATTAGGTCCGCTTAAATTAACCGTCAAGTTTTCCTTAAGTTAATGAATTGGATGGGTTTGCGCAACGCAATTCACAACATTCTCCAAAAGTCCTTTACGTGAACAGCACAATAAAGATACAATCAAAGATCATTAAGCATTATGAAAACTATAAGTGTTGACGAGGCATTCGTTACTATGATGAGCATGAAACTCGTGCCAAGAATATGTTTAACACGATTGTTTATAAGCAACCTCCACTACTTGTGAATATAAGTTCATAACGATTAGGTGAAATTCACTTATATTCTAGCGTCATATTTATGCATGAAAATTAAGCGCGCATTCTTAATAAACATTCATAAATAAGCTATCAATCAAACGGTTAAACAAATTGAATCCACAACTTATGAAATTCCAACGAAAGTTAATCAATTCATATTGCAAATATAAACATAGTTTCGAATCACCCCCTACCTAAAGGGGGTTTAGTTCCTCATAACCTTGAAATCAAAGAAACACCTAAACATTCCAACAACTCAAAACTTGAATTGTATGAACGTTTAAGCACTCTTCTCTTCCATACATACAAAACAAAGAGAATTAAAATGAAACTTTGAAATCAAAGAAACACCTAAACATTCCAACAACTCAAAACTTGAATTGTATGAACGTTTAGGCACTCTTCTCTTCCTCGTTGTTGTAGCACAAGGTTTAAGGGATGTTGTTGGTGTGTTGAATGGATTGGGGAATTTATGGAAATGGAAGAAATGGAGGAGAAATGGAAGGGAAACTCACGGCCAAAGGGGGAAGAATGGATGATTTTGAAGAGTGTTGTGTTGTGAGTGAAAAATGAGGAATGCCTTGAATGATGAGAATGCAAGGTATTTATAGGAGTAGTGGAGGGAACATATGGCTGCAATGCATGTGATAAAAGACTAGGAAAGTGGGTGGAAATGTGGCTGCAAGGTGAGTGAATGATTATGAGTGAATGCATGTGAAGGTGGCTGATTTGGAAAGCTAAAAATGTGTGGTGATTTGCACGGCATGGGTGGAGAAAAGGTGTGTGAATATGGCTGATTTATGAAGGGCATTCATGTGCATTGAAGGGGGAAATGTTAGGTGGGAAATGCATGTGAATGTGCTTGTAATGATGAAGAATGAAAGCTGGAAAATAAAAGGGAAAACTGGAAAGGCATTGAGAGCCCACGGCAAAGGGGTTTTTGGTGGTGTAAATGCATGTGAATGCATGGCATTTGAAATGATTGTTGTTTGGAAATGAAGTGTGTATGAATGCATGTGAAATAAAGGGTGAATGGTGGCTGAAATAATGATGGAAAACAGCTAAGAAAAGTATGGAATGCATGTGAAGGTGGCGGCAAGGGATGTGTTGGTGCATTGTGGCTGATTTGTTTGTTGGTTAAAGATGCATGTGGATGAATTAAACAATGGGAAAGTATGTGATTGACAACTAGGATGAATGGTGGCTGCAATGGTGTGTAATTGGGCTAGGGTTTAAGTGCATGAAATGGACCCAAATTGCTCCCCCTTGCATGGCAAGGAATGGTGTTTGTGTTAAGCCCATGGCAATGTGATTGTAATTGGGTTAGGGCCATTGTTTTGTGTCCTCAAGTGCATACAAGGCCTTCCATTTCATCCATCACTTGGGCTCCAAGAATAAGTTATCCATCCTTAGCCCCATAGTGCTCCAAAAAGGCCCCAAAACACTCCACAATGCATCCTTTCGTCAAACACGTCTTATAATCCTGAAAACACACAAAAGAAGCATAAAGAACTAAAATAACTAAAGAAACATAACGTAAATGCATGAGAACAAGCCATTTAAGTCGCATGAATATGCTCCTATCAAATACCCCCACACTTATCTTTTGCTAGTCCTCGAGCAAAACAGAAAGAAAAACAAAACAAAACGAAACGAAACAAAACAAGTAAAACACAACCTAAACCTTCCAACAACTGTCTTAGGGATTTCCAATGCACATGACATGTTAAAAATCATCATTCCCACAGATTTTAGTCATCTTCACACTTAAGTACATTCTTAATCATAGTCACCACATACTAGTTCACAATTAAGCATTTAAAACCATGTTTT